TTAGTTTGAGCATTATTTGTTTTGGATTTTAAAAATTTGAATTTGTATTTTAACTGAAAAAAAAAAAGAAAAAAAAAAAACAGGGCAACCCCCCCTCCCCAAAGCCGTCACGTTGCCATCTCTAGTTGATGATGGTCTTCGCCTCCACCTCGGGAAAGAGGCAACCCAAAATCATTGTGTGGCTTTCTATTTATACATGAAGATTATTCCACATCAGCACCATCGGTCGAAGTTTTATGATCACGACTTCTTTAATGTTGTCAAGGCTATATTTTAATTTAATGACTAGTTGTAACTTATTCAAGTGAAAGGTGTCTTCCTTCTTTTGTTGTCTATATTTCTCAATCATCAGGCAACATGTTCATGTTGAGATGCGTGTCGATATATGAACAAGTTTTGTTGTAATGTAAAATGATGATTTCATAATAAATAAATTTTGGTTTTTAATCATATATTGTTGTTTCATTTTATTTAATATTGAGCATATGAATAAACGTGTCAATAATTATTTTTGATAATATAAATATGGTACTTTCATTGGGAAACATATGAGTGACAAAACTTATTTTTTTATTTTAAGTAAAATTGTTCACAATTTATGGATAAAGGTTGACATCTTGTACTGAGAAATTATAATCTTGACTATTTCCTTATCCCATAAATAATTTAATAACGACACTAGTACACTTGGAGTATATTAAATGGACCATGTGATGACTAAATTCTACTTGATCACCTAATTTTTCATTTAAATTCATTGACAGTGTTTTGTATATCTTTTCATAAGTTTTATAATGATTTGACTGACTAATTGGGTGAGATCAACTTGATTGATCAACTATTTCGATGAGTAAGAAGATTGAAAATGAACAAAATAGAGAACATGAATTCGTGTTGGGATCCATCATTTGGAAAAGCGGGTCAAGTGACCACTAAGTATCTGATGTTGAATGGTTTTAAATATGAGATCACCGTTTAACGACCACCAAACTTCAATATGTGTGATTTTGTTCAAAGGACCACTAAAGAGTGCCACCTAAGTTGATGAGAATAATTAAAACGACAAGATAGTCATTTTGACTGTACCTAATTATTGAATCTCAAATTGAGATGAAATATGTATAGAATGGTCAAAGAATAATATTACGAATATTTTAGTTTATGTGATTTTATATTCCAATAGTACATTATCTTGTCCTAATGAAAAAAAAAGACTAAAAATTAGATTAGTGGTGTAAGATAGACTAAACATGAACTAATAATTGGATCTTGGAAAATATACACATTCGAATATGTCCATGTGGTAGCTCCATAAAATCTTGGAATCAATTGCAATTACTTTGAAAGGTTTAAACTTAATTTTAATCAAGAATTATATATGCATGCAACTAAATCAATTTTGATCTAATTAGACTTGAATTGAAACTCTTTTGTCTATATGTATACCAGTATTTTTAAAAGCGTAAAGTGTGACTAGACATGAAGGTTAACTTCAAGCTTTACGAACCTAGACGTAAAAAAATAGCTACTTATTTTTATTATTATTATTTTAAATACTTAATCATTCTAAAAATTATTTAACAATTAAAATAATACATACCAAATATCTAAAACTATAAAATACTATATTTACTTAATAATTCTTACAATTAATCAATTACACAAGTTTTCAGGTTTTCAAAATGCAAAAGCTAAAGTATTTTTTTTAGTTTCAACTTTTAACTAAACAGATCATACTTAATAGATTTATAGGAACTTCATATTTACTTTCAAAGTTTTCAACAAAACGATAAATTTTAAAATCAGCACCATAATTTAAACATTATATAAATCTTTATCGGATAAAATCATTTTTAATTTTTGTACATATATAGTCATTTAAAAAACTTGAAACTAAAGTTAAATAAAAGCCTCTTAAAAAAAAGGTTAATAAACTAAAGTAAAATCAAAGGTTTATAAGAAAAGGAAAAAAAAATTAATAAAACGCACCTAGAAAAGCTTCAAGTGTGGTTGATCGCTTAATTTGTACTTACTGTTAAGGCAAAGCATTTTTGCTGCGTTTTTTAAAATATTGTTCCTACACATGTAAAAAGAGTGAGATTCAAAGCACTGTAGAAACTCTCGTCCAAAACGACGTCGTTTTGGTGTCGATTTTTTTTTTTCCCAGCAGTGCAATCAGTCGTTCATTCATTCTCCATTTCTCCAAAGTTTATTTCCAGCGTGAACCCTTTCCTTTCCTTCACTCTCTCTGCGAGTTAAGCCGTCACCAACATCTCCACCGCGGCTGTGTCATCTCATCTCAATTGTTCCACCGGAATCTGACACCACAGGAAAGCCACCGGATAGGTGAGTCTTTTTTCGTCGACCATTACGATGTCGGCTGATTTTTCGCGATATGATTTCATTCTC